CTGAGAAAGAGGGACTGCCATGAGTCAACAGCTTATGATTAGGATGACAGGGAGTAAGGCACGGCTTGCAATGGAACATGTCTGCCTTGTGTAACAAATCCGTGATATACTTGGATTGATGAACAAAAAGACCACTGGAACGATACTCAATCTGTAACCCAAGAAAATAATGCAAAAGACCAAGATCTTTCATATCAAACTCTGCAGTCAACTGTTGTATCACACTGTGAACCCCAGCAACACTATTACCGGTAAGAATAATGTCGTCCACATACAACAAAAGAACAACAATAGACTGATTCTCATACTTGACAAACAAGGATGGATCAACATAAGAGGATTTGAAGCCCAAAGTAAGAAGAAATTTAGTAAAACGCTCATTCCATGCTCGGGGAGCCTGCTTCAACCCATATAGAGATCTTTGGAGTTTACACACATGTGTGGGGTGAAAAGGATCGACAAAACCCTGAGGTTGAGCCATATATACTTCCTCGTCAAGAAAGCCATGTAAAAAAGCATTTTTGACATCCAATTGGTTGAGTGCCAGCCATTAGAAGCAGCTAAAGAAAGGAGAAGTCTCACTGTGGTAGGTTTAACCACAGGACTAAAAGTCTCATAATAATCTAACCCCGCCTCCTGTGAAAATCCCTTAGCCACTAACCGAGCTTTGTACCGAGCAACAGTACCATCAGGATGTTTTTTGATCTTATAAATCCATTTACACCCAACCAAGTTCTTATCGGGAGGAAGAGGAACCAAGGTCCAAGTTTTCTGCTGAAGAAGAGCATCCATCTCGTCCTGCATTGCTCCTCGCCACTCGGACAATTTACAAGCAGCAGAGTAGGACTGAGGTTCCTGAGCACCAGCTTGAACGTCAACAGAAAAGGCATGCTTTTTCTTAAAAATGCCCGACTTGGACCGAGTCTGGATAGGATGAGAGTTAACAGCAGCAACAGAAACTTGTTGCAACTCAGATACTTGAGACAGATGAGTATCAGGATGTAACTCAGACATGGCTTGACCAAAAAGAGCTGCACTGGACAGGTGACCCATGGAAATATCCCCTGGTAGTGAGGAAATGGTACCAGAAGAAACAAACTCACGTGGTGCTGAAGAACATACTGGAGGACTATGCTGAGAACTTGAATCCCGGGAGAACACTTGTGGAACCGGTATAGATGCTAAAGGAGGATGATGAAAAGTGTTGGAGGGTACAGTGGAAGACATGGAAGCCACCTTGGAACCAGAGACAAAATGACGAGCCATAAGAGTTGCAGGAAAATGACGTTCATCAAATAGAACATGCCTAGAGACAATTAGTTTATTGTCTGTAGGATTAAAGCAGATAAACCCTTTATACTGAGCAGCATATCCCAAAAATATGCATTCACTGGTCTTTGGGGAAAGCTTATGAGATCTATAAGGCTTCAATGACGGATAACAAGCACAACCAAAAATCTTCAAGTGATCTAGTTTGGGTGAAGAATGATATAACACTTCAAAGGGAGACTTCATAGACAAGACCAGTGTAGGCATTCGATTAATAAGATATACTGCTGTGGCACATGCATGGTACCAAAACTGAGGAGGAAGACAAGCTTGTTGAAGAAGAGTGATAGCTGTCTCGGTAATATGCCGATTCTTCCTCTCGATAAGCCCATTTTGTTAAGGAGTGTAAGGGCAAGACTTATGATGCAAAATACCCTTGTCCTTAAGAAAATTCTGAAAATGAATCCCAATATACTCTCCACCACCATCACTTTGCAATATTCTGATATGAACATTAAAGAAATTTTGCACAAAAGCTTGAAATTGGACAAACAGACCAAAAACAGCAGCTTTATTCATGATAGGAAATATCCATGTGTACCTTGTACATTCATCAATAAAGGACACATAATACCTATATCCTTCAATAGACAAACTAGGTGACGGACCCCAAACATCAGTGTGAATGACTTCAAAAGGAATTACAGACTTTGAAGCCAAAGAAGGAAAAGGTAGATTGGCAAATTTGCCTTGTAAACAAGCTTTACAAGTATAGAAAGAATCAAGACACTTAAAATGAATATCAGCCTTAGAAAGAGCTGCCTTGACTACTGAAGAAGCAGGATGACCCAATCTCAATGCCAGAGTGCAGAATTTATTCTTTGTCCAATATATGCTGCGGGAGAAACGGGAGAAGACTTCATTACTGGTAAAGGATAGACAGCATTGTTACTCAATCCTCGATACAGAATTTCCTGAGTGACCTTGTCCTGTATGCACACAGAAGACTCATCAACAATACACCTACAATTATTATCCTTGCACAGTTAATGCATAGACAATAAATGTTGTGATAATTGAGGTACATGTAAGACAGATTTGAGACAAAGAGTATGAGACTGTAATGGAAGATTAGAATGGCCAATATGAGCAATATGTAAACCTTCTCCATTAGCACCAGTGACAGTATCAGAGGATGAGTAAGGAGCAGCCATGTGAATGTTAGACAAATCAGAAGTCATGTGATGGGTGGCCCCTGAGTCAAGCAACCAATATTCTTGCTGTGGTGCAGAGGGAGAAGAAGTAGTTTGCACAGTCATAGCAACCGGAGAATGATTTTGAGAGTTCATCATGGCAGGATGAAACTGAGGAGGATGAACCACATGAGCAGGTGGAAATGGTGCAGGAAAAGTAGCCTGTTGAGAGGGTTGAAACTGCTGTGGAGAGAACCCGTGGGACGATGAAGAAAACTGGGGAGGTACCATCGAAGAAAAACCACTATTTCGATCAAAACAGGTTGCAGCAGTATGCCCTTTCCGATTGCAAATTTGACACCCTTTTTGAAAACAATGAAGAGCACCATGACCTTTCCTATTACATATTTGACAAATCTGCAAAGGTTGATATCCTTGCTCAGTAGGCAGAGGAGAAAGGAGAGACTGAAAAGAAGAGCCCTGATGAAAATTATTTGATGAAGACTGCTGTGGAAATGAAGCACCAGTTTATTGAGGTTGCTGAAAATTATTATAAAATTTCTTGCCTTTCCCCTTTGGTTTGAAGTTATTCCCCCTGAAATTGTTATAAGTCCCTTAACCACCCTGAGATACAAAAGCAAGAGGACTATTCATCTGGAACATTTGATTAGGAAATGGCATTTGTTGAAACACTGGGGTTGAAGAGATCGGAAAAGGAGAACTATTGACAGAATGCTGAGATGCATTATGTGCGGCACCACCAGATGATCCCCCAACATCATAGACTGAATTAGAAGCATACATAGCAGACATGATAGGAGCCTGTTTAATAACTTCGTCCAAAGTAGCCTCTTCAGCTTTCAATTGGGAACGCAATTCCTTTAAAGACACAAGATTCTCTCTGCCCCTTATAACTGCCTTGATAGTATTAAACTCATGCGGAAGCCCTTTAAGAGCAACAATTACAATATCATCATCTGAAATAAACACTCCAACAGCAGCAAGTTGATCCCTACAGTCCTTGATGCGCTGCAGATACAAATCAATAGACTCGGACCCTTTCCTTATGTTCTGCAGATCAATCTTCATTTGAACAATACTGGTTCTAGTCATGTTAGAAAACCGTTCCTTCAGATTATTCCACATGTCCTGTGAACTTTGACAACCAATAACACAGGACAGAGCAGCAGTGGACAATGTAGCAGTGATTAGAGTCATGAGAGCTTTATCATGAATCTTCCATACTTTGTAATCGTCAGTAATATGATGTGAATTAGTAACAGTTTCTTCCTCAGAATCAGAATCCTGATATTTATCTGGGCAAGGAATGGATCCATCCACAAAACCAAAAATTCCATTTCCTTCTAATAAAAGCCCCATTTGAAAATTCCAGGTAACATAATTGGAATCATCCAATTTGACAGTGACAGTGTTACCAACACTAGGAATCAGCGAAGAAATTGGTGACTGAGTAAGTGCTAATTGAGCAACTGTAACCATGACGAGAACTGTAAAAGATCAATGTATCGTCAAGACTCAGAAAACAACTAAAGACACACAATTGGTCAATAAGATTCTCCACAGACGAACAGCAATACGTAAGCAAGCAAGAGGCACATCAAGAAACCAGATCAAGCAACACAAGAAACTCCAATCAAGATAATATCAAGAAAATCTCAACAATCCCACCGCAGCAACAATCGCAAATGAGCGAGACAAAACGACGATAAAACTACACCACAACGCCTTCAAGAAACACACAACAGCAACAATTAACGAAGGAATTTCAAGAAGAACAATCACTGACCGACAGACGAAAAAGCCCCAAATTTCTAGGGTTGCAGCAACCGACTTAGATCCACGACGACGAAACGAGACGAGCAAGACGAGAACAATTATTACCAAGATGAAAGCACAAACAAGACGAGCGGAAGCACAGCGATCAGGAACCGACGACGGTGTTACCCTTTGCCGGCGAAGATACCATGTCAACAGTAATGAAGGAAAGTACAGAGAGAAAATGTAGAGAGAGGAAGGAGAGAGAGTAAAAGAAATGTTATGTATATTTCCAGATATCAAATACAATATGTTTACCTCACTTATATATAAATACAACCACCTTATAACTAACTCCATATTCTTTACTCTACTAACGACACCTGGCACTAACCTAAGTCATTACCTCAAATAGTGCATGAATTGTGTGGCAAGTATGCTGAGAAGAGAAACACAAATGGAATTTGGGGATGCAAGGATTGTGGAAAAACTGAAGCTAGCACTGCTAGTTCTTAAACCGTTAAAAGAGCAAAAGAGGAGGATTTTAGTAATTAAGGGTATATTCGTACTTTCATTCAACTTTTGGTTATAATTACTTTAGTCTAAAGCAAGGTTTGAAATCGGCACCGTTTAAATGAACAGTGTTTGGGTCCGAATTTCAGTTTAATTACGGCCATGCCACTGTTTTACAGAGTGGCCTTTGTGGTTTGGACCGGATTTTTGTTCTATTTACGGCTATGCCATTGCTTGAATGAATGGCCATTGCGGAAGGTTTGGGTTCGAGAGGCCATGCCGCCTCTGGGATAGAGATAGAGGGAGGGAGAGGGAGAGAAATGAGTAGGGATCCCTCTCTGAGGGTTTCGCATTTGGGAGGTCGTGCTTATGGAGATAGAGATAGATCATCATAGAGATAGAGATAGGAGAGGGAGAGGGAGAGGGAGATCATCCACGATCCCGGGCGCGGCTCTCCGTTGGCCCGCGTCAGCTTCCGCCATCCGTTCAGGTACAAGAAGCAGAACGAGCTCTTCGTTGCCGCCGAGGGAAAGAGATGGGAGTATTTCTGCGATTTGCAGAGAGAGATGGGACAAGGGAGAGAGAGGGAGATGAAAGGATTTTCTGCGAGGATTGAAGGGAACGGGTATGGGAGTATGGGTTTACAGGCAACGGTATGGGCTGCACAGAGATGAGAGGATTTCTCCACCACCGCTCTCTCTCCCAACTCTCTCTCTCTCTGAGTGGCTCGAAGAAAAACGAAGAAGACGAAGAGGGAAATATACGATTGCCTATAGATCTAAGGTTAGGGTTTCGGAGGGGCATCTTGATCTGCGAAAGACGGTGCGTTTTGGGGGAAGAGGAAGAAGAGGATGGATTCGGTCCCTTCGAACTCACATGCGAACCTGGATGAACAGATTGCTCAGCTCATGCAGTGCAAGTCCTTGTCTGAACAAGAGGTACCCAAAGCCTCTAACTTTTAAGATTTTCAATTATTTTAATTTTAATTTTGAGAAATTTGGAAATATAACCATTTTGAGAACCATCTAATGAAACATACCCTATCCTTTCTAATTCTTATAAAACTAGCCAAAATTGAAGTTAAAAAAACTTAATTACCCGTATGTCAAAACTCTATCTTCTTCTCCTACCTCTGGAGCTCTAGTGTTTGTTTCTTTAACTCTTCATCTCTATCCCAATTGTTGAAACACTACCACCACACTTCTCTATACTCAGAGGCAATTGAACCAAGTGATTACTACATCAAATGCATAATTGTTGGTTTTTGTGTTGATCTTAAATTTGTTGTTAGGTTTCTTGGGTAGCTGTGGAACATCAGAATACATCACTCTCAAACACCCACTCTTTGGAACCGACCTTCTATGCTGGGTTTCTCAAATGTCTCTCTTATTTTGTTTTTGATGTCTTTTTTTCTTTTTCAAAACGAATCTGATTACATCTAAAGCTTATTTGGTGTTTTTATAAGAAAAAAATAAACGGGTTTATTGTTCTGATTTTATTTAATTGTATGAATTGCAGGTTAATTAATTTGTTCCTTTTATGGACCAAGAATGTAAAAGGTATGGATCTGGCAATTTTTTTTTTACGTATTGAAGAATACAAAAGGCATGGTTTTAGCAAGTTGTATACGAAGACGCAAGACCCAGGGGAGGAAAAGATAAGGAAAGGTATTCATGCATTAGTGTTTAATATTGATCAAATAGTGCATGAATTGTGTGGCAAGTATGCTGAGAAGAGAAACACAGATGGAATTTGGGGATGCAAGGATTGTGGAAAAACTGAAGCTAGCACTGCTAGTTCTTAAACCGTTAAAAGAGCAAAAGAGGAGGATTTTAGTAATTAAGGGTATATTCGTACTTTCATTCAACTTTTGGTTATAATTATCAACAATTTAAAAGGGTGGTTATAATTCTATACAGGGACCAAATTTTGGTGTAAATGTGTTTTTGGTGAGAATTTGTGTTGAGTTTTAGGAAATGAGACGGATCGAGCTCTGAAATGTTAGAGCTTGATGGGGCAGCTCGAAAAATGTGGTGCATTTCTTTGTTTGACACTATGGGCGTGATCTGTGAATTGAATTTAGCTGAATTAGGGTTCTTATTGGACCGATCTAGGGTTGTGATTTCATATAATTTGGGGATCCATGGATGAATGTTTTGATTTCACTTAGGTGGATCGATCTTTTTATTGGATTTACCACAGGGTTAAAAATTCTAAAGAAATACATGAACTTGGGGTTTGAAATGATTTGTTCTGCTTTTAGGATTGGGTATTGGCAATGTGGGTCAGATCCCCTTTTCTGTGACACTGCGGGTTTCCGTGTGTGGGTTTGTGAACAAAAAAAACAAAATTTGAGTTTCTAAGTATAAGGCCACAAAAACTGAATCTTTCAATAGATTTTTAAACCTATGTGGAGTTATGATTAGCCAATGTATAAAATATCGATAATATCAGAAATATTGGTAGTCTAAAAGCACGGAAATTTTGATGGAAATATCGGGATATTATCGATACCGATTGAATAAAAATCACGGAAATTGTAAGAATAACTTGGAAATTTTTATTGAAACTTTGCAGGATGTTTATTTAGTCAATTATATATTAGTTTATCACAAAAAATTGGAAGGAAATGCATTGCATGAAGATATAACTGATTTAAGTTGATTATATAACGAGCTGGCAAACATTGTGAGTGTAGAAAATATGTAGTAATTAATGAAAGAAGTTTAAACACACCATAATCATTTATATATAATGAATTAGTACAATATTTTACACTTTATACATTGCATGGTAAGATACATGAGTGACTTAGCAAAGTCTAAAATATCGATGATATCGGAAATATCGGTAGTCCAAAAACACGAAAATTTCGATGGAAATATAGGGATATTATGGATATTTTAGACCATGTGATTAGCAGAGACTTTACGGAGCGTAGTATTTGAGTATGGTTTTGGTTAAATGTGATCATTGTAATACATTGTTAAGGAGATACCTTGAATTCTTCCTTATTTGGACAGTTCTGAAATCAGTAATGTTAAACGTCCTTAGTTTACATTCTATTCTATGAGGAAACTCTATACGCCTTTTGATTTGCCAAATAATGTGCACTCTGCGGTGTATGCTTTATAGTGCATGTAAGCTACGAATATTTCTTGGGGAGGGATGAAGGGTTGTGTGGATATGCTAGGCTGATGGCATACTTTACAAGAGTGTTAGCTTTGAAAGTGAGTTGCTTTAGTGATTCTTGAATTTCAGAACATGGCTATGTTCTGTGGTACACCAGCCTATACACTATTACACGTTATAAGACCAAAAAAATTGCTCATTGAAAGTGCTAATGAGCAAGAAAACGGAAATCTGTTATTGAAAGTGCACGCATGTTCAATTTAATGTTTGTTGGCTTCTTGGGAGTTTATTTAAGATGTATAATAATTGTCATCTTAATTTTTTTGTTTAATATAGTTAAGGGTGCTCTGCGAGAAGACCAAGGAAATATTAATGGAAGAAAGCAATGTCCAGGTGGGCCTTTTTAGTTGCAAGTTTCCGTTTCATGTCTTTCTTTGTATTGTTTCATACAGGTTTTGGACCTATAATGATTTGGACATGTCTTGAGGTAAATGAATAACCATTTTGGGTCTTATGTTTTGCAGCCTGTGAAAAGCCCTGTAACTATCTGTGGTGATATTCATGGACAATTCCATGATCTGGCGGAGCTTTTCCGCATTGGAGGAAAGGTATTTGTTCTGATTTGGGCTATTTAATTCTTCTTACATTTGCTTAATAGGTTGCTACTTATCGGTGATGTTTTCTCTTTCCTATTTTGTAGTTTTCTGGTTTGTTCTGTTGGATGTTTCACTTTCCAAAACTAACATTTATTTCCTGTTGTTGCAATTTTGTTTGCAGTGCCCAGATACAAACTATTTGTTTATGGGAGATTATGTGGACCGTGGCTATTATTCAGTTGAAACAGTGACAGTAAGTACGAGTATTTTTATTTCTACTTATCTTTCAATTAGTTAAGCTATAATTTTTTGTGTATTGAAGTCAAATGTGGGGGCTGCTCTCTTCGTCTAATTTTTCCAACAATAATGCTACTATATATTAATTTATATATTTTGCTAAGACAATATCATTCTTGGACCGAGTCCGATGTCTACTTCCGATAATTTCCTCAGTTACACACTGGAGAACAATTTGTCTTCCCATGTGCCCAATTATTCAACAATATTGTAGTAAAAATGACAAAAAAATGCGAAATCATACATGTAAGAAGGGCGTAGAGGGACAATTGAGGTCTTTGATTTTCATTGCTTTCCCACGAATTTAATGAAAAATCCATTGAAAGCTTCAACCAAGATGTGCTTGCTTCTTTTCTACTCTACTTTGCTGCTCATTGTTGCAGCAGTATTCTCCATAGCTGATGACGGCACAAGTACATTTCAGTCCATTAGTGACGGTGAGACTGTAGTTTCAACCGGCGGAACATTTGAGCTAGGATTCTACAGTCCCGATGCTTCTAATAGACGGTACGTGGGGATATGGTACAAGAAGATTTCTGTTAAAACCATTGTATGGGTTGCCAACAGAGACACACCCCTCACTGATTTGTCTGGCGTCCTGAAGGTCACCAACCCCGGAATACTTGTCCTCAACCACAACATGAACACAATTTGGTCCTCCAATACATCGAGAACTGCACAGAATCCAGTGGCACGTCTTTTGGATTCGGGTAATCTTGTCGTGATAGATAGGAGTGATGATGACCCTGAAAACTTTCTGTGGCAAAGTTTTGATTACCCTGGCAATATAGTCTTACCAGGTGCGAAGCTTGGTAGGAACACAGTTACAGGCTTCAGTTGGCATGTTAGATCATGGAAAAGTCCTCAGGATCCTTCTCAAGGTAATTATACATATCAATTTGGTCCCAAAGGATATGCAGAAATGTTTCTGAGGGAAGGTTCGGTCATAAAATTTCGGAGTGGACCGTGTGGAATGGAGTCCGGTTCAGTGGAATGCCTCAGTTAAATCCAAACCCTATGTACACATACGGTCTTGTTTTTGAGCCTGATGAATTGTACTACAGTTACAAGCCTCGCAACAGCTCAATTCTTTCGAACTTGGTGTTAACTTCAGATGGACTTCTGCGGCGCTATACATGGATTGATAGAACCCAAAGTTGGGTTCTTTACCTAACAGTCCAGATCGATAACTGTGACAACTATGCATTCTGTGGTGTACATGGTACATGTAACATTGAAAAGTCCCCGGTTTGTAGCTGTTTGAAAGGATTTACACCGAAGTTTCCGAAAGAATGGGATTTGGTAGATTGGTCAAATGGTTGTGTGAGAAAGACTTCTCTAAATTGCACCGGAGACATGTTCCAAAAGTACTCGGGTTTGAAATTGCCTAGCACAGAACAATCCTGGTTTGACAGAAGTATGAACCTCAAGGAATGTGAGATGGTGTGCTTGAAGAACTGCTCCTGCACGGCGTATACAAATTTGGATATCCGAGATGGAGGAAGCGGATGTTTGCTATGGTACGGCGATCTAATTGATATAAGATACTTCGCTGAAAACGGGCAAGATATTTATATAAGAATGGCCTCATCGGAACTAGGTATGTAAAAAACCCCTGTTGGTGACTATGCATTTATTCATGATCAAAAGCTCGAAACAAAGTCAAGACATAACGAAGTGAAACGTTGTATTGATTCCAACAATTTAAACCTTGAATTTTGACACAATTAGCAATATCTTCTTTTAGAATTGTCTCACAAACTAGCAACTATTAGTTGGATGATAGACGCTATAGAGTTTTTATTTATTTATTCAGTACTGTCTGACTCATAGATTTTCTGTTTTAAAAAATCACTTATAAATCATGAAGACAATACAAAGATCGACGCTAAATACTCTGAATCCAAAGCGAAGAAAATGAGAATCATAATAAGCACAATTGTGTTGTCTACCGGACTGTTGATCATGGGCCTGGCCCTGCTGTTTTATGTTTGGAAGAAGCAGCACCAGATAGGTGGTAAGTTGGCTGTACTACTCTGCTCCTCTGCTTTCCAAGTTACATAGTTCTGTTGTATAGGGAATTTTTTTCACCCCCGTAACTATTTCTTTGCAGGAAAACTGGGATGCGGCCAAAAGGAGGATCTAGAATTACCGTTATTTGATTTGATGACTTTAGTTTCTGCAACCAGTAACTTTTCAATTGAAAACAAACTTGGTGAAGGCGGTTTCGGATCTGTCTTTAAGGTAAAACCATAGTCCTTCACAGTTTCCAAGTTCCATAGATACATGTAATTCTGATCACAATATGGAATGATGGATACAAATAGTGTGCAAACTACAAAGTATGAATTTTGGCCATAACATACGCTGATGGATTTCAGGGTACAATGAAAGATGGACAAGAAATCGCAGTGAAAAAGCTTTCAAAAAGTTCTCAACAAGGACTCAACGAGTTCAAGAATGAAGTTACACATATTGCCAAACTTCAGCACAGGAATCTAGTGAAGCTTCTCGGATACTGCATTCAAGAAGATGAGATGATGCTGATCTACGAGTTCATGCCTAACAAGAGCTTAGACTTCTTTATATTCGGTTTGACCACTCAAAAACCTTACATTTAGTTCGATTAGTCCACTTATGCTCGCATGATGTATTTTTTGACAATTGTGAACTGAAGTATGATATGCTGCAGATCAAAGAAGAAGGATGTTGTTAGACTGGCCGAAGCGCTTTGAAATTATTAATGGGATAGCTCGAGGGATCCTCTATCTTCATCAAGATTCTAGACTGAGAGTTATCCATAGAGATCTCAAAGCAAGTAACATTTTGTTAGGCAGTGAATTTAATCCGAAAATCTCAGACTTTGGCCTGGCTAGAAGCTTTGGAGGAAATGAAACGAAAGCAAAAACGAAGAAAGTGGTCGGAACATAGTAAGTATCCTAAAACACAATTGTACGACTCTTTTTTTACGAATTTTCAAAAACACTTATAGAAACTAGAAAGTCTAGATTCTTTGCATATAAAAACATTTTTTGACACATTGGTTTGCAGCGGTTACATGTCCCCAGAATATGCAATTGATGGTTTCTACTCTATAAAGTCCGACGTCTATAGCTTTGGTGTTATGGTGTTAGAGATAGTGAGTGGGAGCAAAAATAGAGGATTCTCTCATCCAGACCACAAACTCAACCTTCTTGGACATGTGAGTGTGACAACATCAAATGTCAGGTTAAAATTTCTTATCAGTCGATTCTAGTACTTCTACTAAGTAGACTAGTTTTCATGTTTTAGGCGTGGATGCTACACACAGAAGGCAGGCCTCTCGAATTGCTTGATACATCGATAGAGGACTCCATCACTTTGCATGAAGTTGAACGAACGATTCTTGTGGGTCTTTTGTGCGTGCAGCAGAATCCAAAAGATAGGCCGAGCATGTCAGCTACAATTCTAATGTTGGGTGGTGAAGGTGCATTACCCTCACCCCTAAAACCGGGTTTCTACAGTGAAAGGGATCTGACTGAACTCGAAGCCAGTCATTCTTCTAAAGCATGCTCAACTAATGAAGTCACTATTTCACTACTCGAGGCTCGATAAAATATTGGAAATGATTTTCGCACACGTCTGTCTTTATTTTGTCTCTTGATTTTCCTATAATTTCTTCAATTGGAAGACAATGTTATATAAGTCGTTGTCACATAGCAACACTCTTTAGGCCGATTCACAAAAGTTGTGAATATGATCAGAACTATCATATTATAAATCGATTTGTAAAGATAATATTTCAACAAAAAAAAAACAATCAATAAATTATGATATTGTTTAGTCGTTAAGGTATATAAAAACAATCAATAAAAGTATTACAAGCCGTTTGTGAGGAATTCTCATTTTTGAGTGGTCAAGCATTATTCATTTTTAAGGCCAAAAAATGAAAATCAACGAGGAAAATTTCCAACAAATTTCAGTATGTGGCTAGAACAAATTTTCGTCGATTGGAACATTTTCAAAATGTTTCAAATGAATTCTGAAAAATTTTACAATGCAACAAAAATTGTACGAAAATAAGTTTTATGACGTTTATGTTGAATTCCCCAAAACAGATTTAAAACCTTAAATGATAATTGTATATAAAAAAGAGAAATTTAACGAAGCATTTCCGGTACTGTTTACTTTTAACGAAAAATAACATTTTTACCTTTCTGGGTACTATTCACTACACCTTTATTTGTCCCCTTTCATTAAAATTAAAAAAAAATTGATTTTTTGTTAGTTTTTTCTTATAAAAAAATGAGTAGCGCTATCTAGACACTCATTTTACTTCTAACACTCTCAATTGTCACCCGTCAAATCAAATAAATAAAATTAAATCATAACCAAATATTAACAAGAATGCTTAAAAAATAAAAATAAATATATGAATAACTACTTCTGACATAAATTTATTCAGTTTGAAACGCGGAAAGACATGTCCAAGTAGGTGATACGGCATTCGACAACTTCTGTACCCGTCACTTCCAAATCCAAAATTCCCCTCTTTTTTTTTTTTTTTTGGTCAAGCAAATTTCCATCTCATCACTAATCTAAGGTGTAAAAAAAAAAAAGAGGTATTCATCAATTTCCCTCATGAACTTGTGACTATTGGCCAATTTTCCCTCTCAACTTTAATTTTAGCCAATTTCCCTGCTCAACTCCCATAATTAGTCAATTTGCACCCTACTGTTAATTTTTAATTTGATCATAATTAAACAAGTGTGTGTAAGAAACTAAATAAGATGTATGTTAATCATTTTCCTATGTCTTTATCCTATTACAAATACATTAAAATTTAGAATTTTACAATTATCATAGATAGTATTATTAGTCATAATAAATCAGTATGGAGTAATTTTATTTGATTTTTTACTATACAAAATTGATAACGAAACGGATTGATGTGTACATTTTTGTATGTGAATACAATTTTATTTATAAAAGTGAAAGCTAAGTTCA